GCTGTTGATTTAATTTATTGTAACACTTTAGCATGTTTTTCACTAACCTGTCAAAGTTTACTGAGCATTTTTAAGAAGAAATATTTAAATATGACTACTTATTTCTTTTTAGCCCAGAGCATTATATAGAAAGGCTTTTTGTGGGGTTGGGGACAATTCAACATTTTTTACCTGTACAATTCACTGACACTGATCACATTACTCATGTGCAACTAGCACCCACATCCAGTGCCGTATTTTCCGTTACCATTAACAGTTACTCGTTGCTGCCTGAACAGTGACTCCCCCTGCCCCCATCCCTCTTGGGCCTGATAACCACTGATACACTTTGATAGAAATGCCGATTTTAAAGATTCATCAGGAATAAATATACTTTTAAAGAAATTTTTAAAAAGAAATTTAAAGCTTTTCTCTGAATTGCTAAAGATTTATTTTAAAAATAACTGTTTTTTTCTCTAACCCTTAAGACTTCAATTTTATTAGATTGGTCAGCTTATCTTTGTGTCCAAGAAGGGTTTCTTATATGGATAAATTTTTGAGATATGGTAACTTTTCCTCCAGGCTGAAGAAGGAATTTGGGTGTGTAGATTTGTTGATTGTGTTTCTCCAATGCCCCTGCTACTTTGCTTCATTAATAAGACTGGTACGTTAGCAGCACAAAAATATAGCACTCCATCTTGCCTCTTGCCCAGTTTGGCATAGAATCATACCACTAATTCCCTCCCTCAACCACAAACTTTTTATGAATTTTTTTTTAAATCTAAGATTTTCAAAAATATTGTATCAGCATTCTCAAGTTCATTTATTGTCATCCTCAGAGTTTTGATGGATTTGAATTAAACATTTATATAATATGTCTAGACTATTAAGGGCACTGGAACACTGATATCATATTGGCATAACTTGTTTTGGATTTTTTAGATAGAATTCCAAAAATACACCAACTGATGAAGAATTAAGCAGCTATGAAAAGCATACAATTTATCTTTTAGGGGAACGGTACATTCCTACTGGTCTGCTGGCCAAAATATTCAAATTTAGTCTGTGAATCTGGTCAGAAATATATTCTTTACATTTTTCTGGAAAAAAAGCTTGCCATTCTTGTCTGTTCTTTATGTTATATTGCAGGTTTAAAAGACTTATTTTATATTTCATTTTATTTCAGACATCTGATTGAAATGGTGAATGTTCATTTTCTTTAACAATATTAATTACTTAAGAGCATTTAAAAGAACAGTTCATTTCTTTTAATTGACTCAATTTCTAATTAAGATGGTTACTTGAGGATAAAAATACTTTGAAAAGCCTGAGTGATAATCAATATCAAAAAGAGTAGCCGGGAACAATTGTGCTACTTAAAAACATTTATCTTGTATACTGTCATGCTACTTTAATATCATGTCATCAGGTTTAACAAAATCAGATTCTTCTTGCAGTAATGATGATTTAGGTAGAATAATATCATTTGTGTAGAGAATTAAGTATAGTCTTATTTAAATCAATTTTATCTATTTATATTTTAAAATAAAATTGAGGAATCCATACTATGGATTTATATATATGTATTTTTTTTAGGATTTCCAGTTATGTTGTTTGTGTTTTGGTGTGGTTCATTACCATGTTAATTCCAGAATCTTAATTTTTACTTTAGGAATGAAAAGCAAAATATTAAGGTTTATGTGAAAAGCAGCATCTTAAAAAAGTTTTAAATTCCCTTAAAAATCTACTTGCAACCTAATTTTATATCTTTCATTGTTGTGAATAGTGTTACTTGTCATTAGTTGCAATACCAAACTAATTCTGATGCTGATGTTGAAAACAAAAACTTAAGTCTTTCAATTACCTAAAGATTTATGTTTGCTAAAATGATGTAGGTGACCATTAATCAAGGGATAGGTTACAGAACATAACAGAGCCATTTCTTTTACAACAGAGATAATGTCTTTCAGTTCAAAATTATTTCTACCTAGCAGTAGCTAAAAATGTTCTTATCTCTTTTACTTACTATGAAATGCTCTGAAGAGTGGTCTGACCATGAACCAACTCCACTTGGGATAAAAAGCTGTTATTTAATCAGAAATAGAAAAAGGAGTTTAGGGAACTGTTCCCTTCACCATTTTTCTCCATTAATACCACTTTTCAGTTTATACCTGTAAGTCTGTGTATCTATGTATTATAATGTATGTATGCATATGCAATAAAATCAATCTTTTATTTTAAGAACAAACCCTTTATTCAGCGTGCAAGTTGACGAGTGTGTGATTGTCACTGACAGGATTGTTTGCAAAGCCAGTGATAACACGAGGCACTTTACCAAGTGATTAATTTCTATTGGCTCAAATCACTAGTTTAGTAACACAAAGTAGTTACTCATGCTCAAAAATGCATAATCAGTAAATAGTTTTTGAATTTATCTTTCCTCAGACTTGAACTGTTGCACTCAAACTAAAATGAATGGATTATTTCCAGTAAACACAAAGTTGAAAACCTTTTAAAAAACCTTATAGTCTTAATCTTTTAAAGCAAATTAAGTCCTTTAAAAGAATGTCTTAGTTCGTTCTACTTGTCAGTAATGTATTAGTTCAAATTTATCATTTTGCTTTCACTTTATTTCTTTAAAAATGATACTTAGTCTTTCAAATTAGATAACTTTAGCTTGATTTATAATGCTGTATTAGAAACGTGTGCAAGTCGTATTTTACATGCATTTTATACCATTTTATTTTAAAATTAACCATTTATTTTATGTAGCAAAGACGTTAACTTTATGTTACTAGCTTTGATCACAAGATATAATGGAATGAATAATTCCATAAATTATTTAATTTTAAAACCTGGTAAAGCATATGACCTTTAGCATTATTTCAGTATAGTCTGTCAGCAAACATTTATTTAGTTTAAACTATACATCAGGCCTTTTGCTAGGTACAGAAGGTACATAAACGAGGAAGACAGTGATCCTGGACTCAGGAAGCTCAGAAATAGAGAGAGAAAAGGTGTTGGTGGGGAGGAAAGTGAGCTTCAGTGTGTCTTTATTTTGTGTCTACAATATAGACGTTTGATTTTTTAATTTTACTTAGTTCTCACAAAACCCTGTAAGGTATTTATTATCATTTCCATTTTACAGAAGGGGAAATAGACTCTCAGAGATGACAAGCGACCCAAGATCATAAAGCTAATAAGCGGCAGAGTTGTGAAACACGTCTTTCATGCTCCCAACTCCACTTTAATTTATACTACAGCAAATACATTTTCCCTGCCCACCATGATGAGGGTATAAAAATGAGTAATCTATGGTTTCCAGTAAAGGTTTCTAAGTTTTGTGAGAACAAGTCATGTTCTATAAAAAGCCAATTCTACATCCTTTTAGGCTACGTCTATTGAAACCCATCTTAACCACATATTTTTTGGTCAGAACCATTTTATGGTAATAAAAAGATTTGAAAGAAAAGGCATTTTGTGGTTAAACCCCATTTTGAGTTGGAATCTGTTGATTCACTTTTGATACTTAATTTTGGTCTGTAGGAGATTTCAGTCTCAAAGTCTTATAACTGGTGTAACGTACTGCTATTAGTTAAATTGCTACCTGAGGAATACTGTATCACCCTATACAGCTCTCATTTCCTTCTGTCCTTAACCATTCAAGTAAAAAACTAGGGGAGAATGTAAGATTTTATAAAAAGTCAAGCTAGTTTATTTTAACTTAAATAAATTTAATAATCGAGATTGTGGTGGGATTGATTCTAAGATAAAAATGAACATTTTGTGTTAATCCCCAAATACTCGTCTACCCTGAAAAAATCATTTAAATTTTTCCTAATTTGATGTATATAATGCTATCTTCTGCCTTTTATGCAAGGGAGCCTTAAAGACTTCATCTTCATTATGAATAGAATAACTTCAACGCATTTATAAGATTTCTCACAATCCATGCATGAGATCATATGCTGTAAATCCATAGATGAACAGAAACCAGAAGTCAATAAAATCAAAAGTAACCAAGTGCCAGTAATACAAGTGTATAATAAGCATGAAAAGAATCACCTAGCAATCTTTTTTAAAGTGCAATGTCTGTACCTCAAGGTCCTGATAAACTGTGTGTGTTGGAGTGGGGTAAGGATGGGGCAGAACAGGTAATAGAAGGTACTCTACAAAGTATCTGTGTTTTGAAAAAGATCTCCAGGTGCTTTTGATAGCCTCTGTTTCTCACTCCAATCTTTCTTTAAGAACACTGAAAAGTATTGTTTATAATAACCTTAAGAATATCAAGTCAATTTGTGTTTCACCTCATCTATATGTAAATTCATAATCAGAGTTCTGATCATTTAGTTAACACATGCCATATAGAAGTTGCTTTTATGTTATTGTTAAATGGTTAGAATTACCTGGCACTCTATTATGCTTTAGGACATAATGCTTTAAACGTAGAATGTTTTATTTTAACTGGAGGAGGTCAATAATAGTCTGGAAAATGATCTCAACAGTAATAATGTCTAACATTTATTAAGTGCTTACTGTGTCAAAGACTGTGCTAATAAGCACATTACCTAGGTTAATCTAATTTAATCTTTGCGGCAATGCTATGAGACGCAAGGACTGAGAAAATTTGGTCAGGGAAGATACAGCCTCACGGGCAGACGTCTTGGCAAAGAGGCAGGACCTTTGTGAATTCATCTCAGTGAATTGCTAAAATCAAGCTGCAGACGCTGTGTGTTGAGCAGTCTGTCCAGAGCCTGTGATCTTTACTGTGCATTTTGCTGTTTCTTGTTTAAAGTTAGAATCTGTGCTATGCATTTGTAATTTAACTAATTTACTGTTGTTTACTTTCTATTTTAATTGAGGATTTTCTGGTTATATATTTGTTTCTATTTTTTTATATTTTATATTTTTATACATTGTGTCTATACACGTATATGTATAATTTGTGTTTAAATGAGAGTAGAAATGTGATTTTATGAAGTAAATGAACAATTCACATATTTAACACTTTTCAATTTCAGTTCATCGATGGTCGACTGGCAAAGCTAAATGCAGGAAGGGGTTTCTCTGATGCATTTGAAGAAGAGATCACTTCAGGTGGCTTTTGTGGAGGTAGAAACTAGTTACCATATGGTTATCTGTTTTCTGAATAACATATCTTGCCTTTGAACTATTGTCTGGTTTAATGTACTTAATAAACAGTGAATTATTATCTCTTAAATATATAATGTCTTGAGATGCGTTTTCATCTCAAGAGCTATGGTATTAACTTATTTTGTCTGACATATTCTAGGCATTAAGATGGATTGGCAGCCATTTTCTCTGATAATCTCTTAATGTTAATGACACACAAGTCCTGCTTTTCCTCTTGACAAGTGTTTTCTGCTAGAAAAGTACTAGTGATGGCCATTACTAAGTATGAACTTGAGAACTGAGCATACGTTTGAAATAGTAGATTGTAATATAATCCAAAAAGAAAGATTTGACTACCGCAACTGCTTCTTCATTTATAGATAGCTATATTATTACATGGAAGTCTTTACCTGTTTTGCTTTGCAGACCGCTGCAGCATTAGGAAAGACTTCAGTTTACCATCCCGTGTGCTTACACTCACCATTGTAAAAACAGCTCACTTACAGCAATGGGCAGAGTCATATTTTGTGTGTGTGAAACATCAGTTAGTTGATATCTCACTTTTATTTAATATAATTAATTAACTCATTTAAAATGTAAATATTCAGACAATGTTATAAACGTTATAAAGGTTATGCTGTAATTATCTAGGCAATTAATGACTAAGAACTGATACTTTGTATGTGATTGTTCTGGTATATTATATCCTGATTGGCAGAGAATCTTGCTTGAGTCCTGGAAGTGGCCTGTTCATTCCACCAGCATGTGCTTAGTGCTTACTATGTACAGGGCACTGTACTCACTGTATACTGGGTGGACTAAGCAAACAAAAATCCCTGCCCTCTGTATCTTGGTATGTTCATCTTTGAATTGGTGTAATAGTGATTTTTTCTACCTCTCTGTGGGTTTGTTTTGAGAAAAAAAGACTTTAGTCTATATGAATAAATAGTTGTTAGAATTGAGAAATAAAACATGAAAAGACAAAGAGTAATACATCAGAGTAATATATCATTTACAAATTTCATAAAATTTAATTGTATTCTTAAATAGTTAGATTTATATCTGAACCATGAAAATATAGAAACAGTTGTACAGTTTATGCATTAAAAAAGGTGCAAATGAACTTAGCAGTTGTGGATCTTCATCGATGTAAGTACAGCATTTTTTTTTAGCTGGGGGAAAAAAGTTAGTTTACTTGACTCAGCAAGTAAGCTGAATGTGGAATTATTCAACTCCTTCTTGCTTTCCCCGGCTCATGGTAAAAATTTAGCTTCAATGGAACTTTTGTGTTAAAATAAGGCTTTTTTACTTTTCAACTCAGACAAGCAAAATATTGTCAGCTCGTGGACAAATTGCTTGAGGCATCTATTCAGTATTTACATAACTGCTGTCTCATTATCTTTATGACCCGTGGGGCTAGTAGCTTATATGGAATTGAAGATGACATTCTGTGACAGTAATGGGGTAGAAGTGTGATCCTTTTGTATAGTTAAATTCTGTAGTCTTAACCATTGGCCCAGATGTGTCTATAATAGAGGCAGGTGGCTTTCCTGGTGGGGCGGGTCACTAAAATGTTTCAGTAAAGGTCTTATTGTTTAAAAAAGAATAGGGGAATATTGATCACCAGTTAGCATCTGACTTAGAGACTTCTACACTTTCTGTATAACTTAACACCAACTACTTTGTTGTTCTTTCTTAAAATGAAAAGTGTTTTGAACTCTTATTTTAATTTGAGGAGCCAATACTTATCCCAAAGGAAAGCCGAGTTCAACATATATTAATTTCAGTGGGGAAAGCAAGTACATTAAAAAATTGTATCTGGCTCTCCACTGTTATTTTTTAATTATTGTGTTTTAGGTTATTAGAGATACATAGACATTATTTCTTAGAGGAAAACAAAGCAAAATCCATGAGGATTTGAAGTAAAGAGACTAATATAATAAAAATCAGTAATGTTCTTCTGAGGAGATATGTATTTCAAAAATAGTTCCTAGAAGTCAGCTCGAAACATGTATCATCTAGGCTACATTTGTGAGAAGGAAGAATACGTCTCTATCTTGTTATTGAAACTATTCTTCAAAAAAGTAAACTGTTCTAACTTTGTCATTTCTTTCATAGTAATAATTATAATATTTTTCATATTTATTGAATACCGATATGTGACAGAAATTCTCTTCAGGGCTCTACCAGTATTGTCTCATTTAATCCTCACAACAAAAGGAGTCCTTGGGTGGCTCAAATGGTTAAGCACTTGACTACTAACCAGATTGGCAGTTTGAACCCTCCCAGAGGTGCCTTGGAACACAGGCTTGGCAATCTGCTTCCAAAAGATCACAGCCTTGAAAACCCTATGGAGCAGTTCTAGTCTGCACACGTGGGGTCGCCGTAAGTTGGAATAGACTCTACGGCAAATAACAAAAACTAAAATCCTCATAGCACCCTCCCTTTTTTTTTAAATTGTGTTTTAGGTGAAAGTTTACAGTGCAAATTAGTTTCTCATTCAAAAATTTATGCACAAATTCTTTTGTTCCATTGGTTGCAATCCCCGCAATGTGTCAGCACTCTCCCCCTTTGTCTTTCCACCTTGGGTTCCCAATGTCCATTTGTCTGGGTATCCTGTCCCTTCTTCCTTTCTTCTTGTCTTTGCTTTTGGGCAGATGTTGCCCATTACATCTGCTATGCTTGATTGAGCTAAGAAGTACATTTCTCACCTGTGTAATTATTTGTTTTAGAGGACTGTCTAATCTTTGGCTGAACGTGGACTTCAGGAGTGGCTTCAGTTCTGAGTTAGCAGGGTGTCTGGGGATTGTATTTTTTGGGTCCTTCTAGTCTCCGCCAGACCAGTAAGTCTGGTCTTTTTTTGGTGAATTTGAATTTTGTTCTACATTTTTCTTCTGCTCTGCCCAGAACCCTCTATTGTGATTCCTTTCAGAGTAGTTGATGGTGGTAGCCGGGCATCATCTATTCTGGGTTCAGGCTGGTTGAGGCTGTGGTTCATGTGGTCCATTAGTCCTTTGAACTAATATTTTCCTTGCTTCTTTGGTTTTCTTTGTTTTCCTTTGCTCTGAACTTGATGGAACCAATAGATGTATCTTAGATGGCTGCTCACAAGCTTTTAAGACCTCAGATACCACTCACCAACGTAGGAGGTGGAACATTTTCTTTATGAACTATGTTATGCCAGTTGACCTAGATGTCCCCTGAGACCATGATCTCCAGCCCTCAGCCCCAGTAACCCAGTCGCTCAAGGTGTTTGGATGTGTCTAGGAAGCTTCTATGGCTTTGCCTTGGTCAAATTGTGCTGACTTTTCGTATATTGTGTGTTGTCTTTTCCTTTCATCAAAGTTAACACTCATCTACTATCTAGTTAGTGATTTCCCCTGCCCACCCCTTGTAATCATCAATTGCCCCTCCCTTGTAATCATCAAAGATTGTTTTTTTCTGTGTATAAACCGTTTCTTCAGTTTTTAAAATAGTGGTTTCATACAATATCTGTTCTTTTGTGATTCACTTATTTCACTCAGCTTAATGCCCTGTAGATTCATCCATGTTGTGGGATGTTTTGTGAATTCATCATTGGTTTTTATCGTTGTGTAGTATTCCATGGTGTGTATGTATGATAATTTGTTTATCCAATCATCTGTTGATCGGCATTTAGGTTGCTTGCATCTTTTTGCTATTGTGAATGATGCTGTAATGAACATGGGTGTACATATGTCTATTTGTGTGAAGGCTCTTATTTCTCTAGGATATATTCCTAGTAGTGGGATTACTGGATCATATGTTATTTCTATTTCTAGCTTTTTAAGGAGGTGCCTTTTTTTTTCCATAGTGGTTGTACCATTTTACATTCCTACCAGCAGTGCATAAGAGTTCCAATCTCCCCACAACCTGTCCAACATTTGTTATTTTCTGTTTTTTTTTTTTTATTCATACCAGTAATGTCGGAGTGAGATGGTACCTCATCGTAGTTTTGATCTGCATTTCTGTAATGGCTGATGATCGTGAGCATTTCCTCATGTGTCTGTTAGCTGCCTGAATGTCTCCTTTGGCAAAGTGTTTGTTCATATCCTTTGCCCATTTTTAAACTGGGTTATTTGTCTTTTTGTTATTGAGATGTTGAAAAGTTCTATAGATTTTAGAGATTAGACCTTTGTCAGATATGTCATAGCCAAATTTTTTCCCCAGTCTATAGGTTCTGATATTCTCGTTTTTATGAGAGCACTCATATCAGTGAATTGCTAAAATCAAGCATGCTGGTAGTGGCCTGAGTCTGTACTCAACACGTGTCTGCCTCACTCCAAACCTCTTGCTCGTAATAACTATATTTTTTTTTTTTATGATAAGAGATCTTCTTAATAAGAAGGCATTTAGGTAATAACCAAGAACACCCTTCTCTATTCTGATTGGATACAAGCAAAATTTCTGTCCTGTCTGAATATCTATTGAAGATTTTTTACACATATAGTCTCCAGAAAGATCACTGTAGGAGAAATCAACATTCTCAAAGGCTGAGGAAAAAAAAAAATTCTTTAAACAAAAATAATTAGGAAATATCTCCCCTTTACGCATCATTGCAGTGGCAACTTGTACCCTATTTTGGTTGCTAATAGTCCATGGTTAGGATTAAATGAATATGAGTATAGTGGAGCTGCATAATTTTCGTGGCTCTGATTAAAAATATGCAATCACAGACAACCAGACATAGAAAAGTTCAGTTCACAGTTGAATCAAGAACTACGGTGAAAAGACTCTGTGAATGCATGCAAATTTTCACAAACTGTTTTCTGTCCTGTGAATCCCTGTAGAATTGTTGAGGAAATCCATGCTAGACGTGATTTCTTTCATGAAATCCTTGTAGAATATTCAGCCTTAACCCTAAAAGGAAAATAATATTAGCAATTGTGTAAAGAGAAGAATATCTATGGAGGTTAAGAAGTAATCAAAGAGGACATAAGTAGAAAAAGGGTGCAATTGGGTGAACACAAATGTTGGTCTGTGAAATGCAGCTAATGCATACTGAATAGTTAAGAACATGTTTATTTTTCCTATTTTCCATTTCAGATGAAACCAGGTCTTATATCCACAGCAAATTATCTGAACTTAAAGGAGAAGCACTTTCAGATCAACTTAATATAGACACGTGTTTCCTCTTCATCAATAGCATTTGTTTCTTCATTAGTTCCCTTTAATCTGATCAGCCTTTATTTACTTCTATTCTTTTTTTTTTAACTGACTAAGGTACCAAAGAAATTTGAAGAATTAGTAGGTAATCAGTTTTTAGTGACATTTTTCTGGGATCATTAAACAATTTAGCCCATTTACTTTTTTTAAATTACAAAAATTTAAACAAATACATTTGAAGGGAAAGTCTTTGCACAAATGAGAAACAAAGATATTTTGACCTTGAGTATGAAAATATCAGTTGTTTAATTAACGAGAACAATGTTAAGAATTTCCTTAATAATGTTTATTATTTCCATAATCCATTTATTTTAAAAGATGGACCCTGAGGGAATTTTTGGCATTCAAATTCGTTTTTTAAGAAGAAAAACAGCCTTATTTTTTTTAAACATCACCAAAGAATAACTTGTCTTATAAATTTTGTAGAAATATGAAACTTGAATTTTAAAAGGAATAAAATTTTTAAAAAACATTTATTAAATTTTTTAAAAAATATTTTTAACAGGAATATACCTAAATTGTAGCACTTCTTTTCCTATCATTTTAAGCAGTGTATTTATTCTTAGGGACTTCTGTTTACCCCTGTAGTAATAATTCTGGAGTATTATTGGTGATTCTCATCTGTAACTGTCTCTTCCCAGGGTATCAGTTTTGAGCAGCTCCTTTACATTTCTAACGTAATTCTTTAGGAAGTAATAACAGAGAAAATCTCTGTAGCTTAAATTTTATCATATTTTACTTTATAGTCTTAGAGTAATATTTCATAGTTGAAGGACTAATGAATCAGGAAATAAAAGACCTGGATTCTTATCCATTCTTTCCCAGTTGCTAGATTTGTGAACTTGGGAAAACAATGTATCATCTCAAAACCTTAGTCTCCTCATCTGGAAAAGTATTTATGATAACAACTAACATTCGTGGGTGTACATGGTTAACGTGCTCAGCTGCTAACCAAAAAGTTGGCAGTTCAGGTCCACCGAAAGGTGCCTCAAAAGAAAGACCTTGATACCTACTTCTGAAAAATTAGCCACTGAAAACCCTATGGAGGTCAGCTCTACTCTGACACGTGGGGTCGCCAGGAGTCAGAATTGACTCAACAGCAACTGATTAACATTTATAGAGTGTCTACAATGTACTGTGTACAGTACTAAACATTGTCCAATTATTGTTTTTTATCCTCACAAAAATCCTGAAAGGTAATAACTATTATACTTATTTGATAAATGAAGAAGCTGAGGCTCAGCCAGGTTAGGGAACTGGCCCCAGGTCACACAATTCACAAGGATAAAGTGGACCTGAACTCTTTTGCCCATTGAACCCTGAGTTCATTTCCTTCTCACTGAACTATGCTTGCTGCCTATGGCACTATCTATGTTAACTGTTTTAGAGTGGACAATTACAGTTCAAATAATATAATGTAGGTGAAAACATGCTGTGACCTGTGAGCTATTTTTATTCATCATAATTCTAAATAATAGACTGTGACCTTTTTATAACTGCTATAAAGTTTTATGATAGCTATTTTCTTTGGGGTTCAAATATTTAAAAATTTATTTTCTGGATTGACAAGTGTTCTGGATTGCTAAATAGTTAACATATACAAGTTGGTGTCTCTCTGTTTTCTTAAATTCTTGGGAAAATAAAATCCATTTTCTAGAATGCTTTAAAAAATAATAAAGTCTTAAACATGTGATTTACATTCAACCATTTTTTTAATAGAAAAGTAAAAGTGTATGAACTGATGAGAATTTTTAAAAAGTAGATGAACAATCTGAGTGTAGACATAATTTATTTTTGTTAATAAAGTCTCCTAGAGACATAAATTGATAGAGTAACTTGGAAGTTTTCATCATTTTATAATGGAAATAAAATTTTTAAAAAAATTGATCAGACCAAATGCCACCTAAAACCCATTTATTTTAAATAGTGCAACTTATTTTTAACAAAAGTTATTTTGTATAGTATATTTTGCTACAGTTATTTCACAAGATTAGAAAAAAATTTTTTTCTCCATATTTTAGCCACTAGAAAAGGTATTAAGTAGTAGGAGATCCTCTTCAGAATGTATTGTTTCTGAATTTTTTTGTTTTTGTTTCTAAATTAGGGAAAGATTTTAAGCACAGTACAGGTAGTCCCCAACTTACGACATATTCGAGTTGCGATGAACCACACTTAGGACCATCTTTTTTTCTTTTTTATACATCTTATCATTAATAGTATGTACTACGTACAGTGTAATTTGCTTATGTTATCATTCTGAGATGTAATGTTTCCAATCCCTAAAGACAAATAAAGATCAGATTATTATTACTGATAATAAAAGACAATAGTAATGAAAACTAAAAACAAAAACAAAAAAACGAGGCATTTGACGTACATCAGAACCAACTTACAAGGAAGTAGTCATCATAACAGAACCCTGTCGTAAGTCAGGGACTACCTGTAGTGACTTCAGAGCTGGGAGCACCTGTAGTGATGTTGAGTGTTGGGATGCAGAGATAATAGCTGGAAAGAAATTTTGGGGCTTCAAACATTCTGCCTCTATTTTGTAACAACAGGAAGGTGATGCGTTTTAAAAAAGCAAGAACCACAATTTGTTTGGAGAACACAATCTGTCTTAGGAGTTGTTTGTACTTACTGGATAGTCTCCGAGAACCCTCTGGGCCTCTGTTCTTATTGTGACTTTTGTACTTGTGATTTGAGGAATTTTTAAGCATTTAAGCAAGCAAGAAAGTAGTTGAAATCTAACTGAATCAGTTGATATAAAACGTTACTTTAGACTTTTTTTTCTTTTTTTGTCTTCTAATACTATCTTATTGACTAGTTTATTTATCATATTTCGAACTGAATATGTTGATTGCTAATTTTATTAGAACTGGTTTTGTCAGCATATGAGCTGTGTAATAATTATGATGCTCAGTACCCTAAGAGCTGTGTTCGTTTCATGTTTCCTTGGTTAATATCTTTCAAGCTTACAGATTTATACCTAGAGAATAGTTTCAGTACCCTAACTGAAGTTTAATGGCATTAAAATTAAATTAGCTATTCATTTGTTTTAACAAAGAAGAGTAGTTTTTTTTGTTTCCAAGGTATTTTGCATTCCTAAATAATTCTGTTTTTAAATTTTCCCTGTGTACTTGACTGAAACACTGATAGCTCATCAACACACAATATATTTCTGTATCAACACAAATTTCATCTACTTTTTATCTATATGACTTTTTTTTTAAAGAATATAAGACACATTAAGTATTTGGTACATTTTTACACTGGGATATACAAGTGATGTAAATCTCACCAGTTTATTAAGAAATCATGTCTTTGAACAAGTTTCATGCATGATCCTTGTTATCAGCAATGTTCTCTTCAAGATTCTCTATTTTTAATAAAATATTATATTAAAATGAACTGAATTGTACATAGGAGGCAAACTTTTACAAAACAACATAGTTATAAAGCACTGAAAAATCAATTTACAAGGCATAGGAATTTGTTTATTTCAAGAGAGAGGTCATATATCTTCCTTTAGAACTGATACTAAAATGAAAGAAAAATAGAATACTTAAATATAATAGCTTTACAAATGAGTAAAGAGAAGGTGATCGTTTCTTCTTAAAAGTGCTAATTACTGTGTTCCTAAGAATTAGAGCAATTTATTAGTCCTTACAATTCCATTGCTTCTTTCACAACATTGCAGATAAATAAAATGTGTCTACTAAAGGGAAATATTAGTTCTTAATGAATTTTGGTCGGTGGATTTATTTTTGATAGAATATTCCTGTCATCTTATTTTTATATATTGCAGGGAGCCCAAGGTCATATCAACAGTGGGTGCATACAGTCAAGGTAATAATAAGCCTTCAAAGTTTGTTCTTTCACTCTAATAGATATGGGAAAATGTTCGTTAAAAGTGTGCTGTTTATACTGATACTGTTTTTTGCAATACTTGAAATATTTACATGTTCTTTCACATTTAAACATTTTTATTTTATGCTGATAGTTTGTTGATATTCATAAAGGTAATTTTAAAATAGAAAACTTTTTTTTCCCAGAGATAAATGCTTATTTTGAAAAGCAAGATTTCACTGTCATATATTATTCCAGAACAAGAAATTAGGTAGTATAGTAGGATCTAATGGAAATATTGTCATTTCTGGTAAAGTGATTTTGTTAGTATGATTTTTTTAATGTAAGAACTCTCTTCTACAGATTGAGAGACATTATTGCCTAAAATTAAAACAGTTGATAAAGATTGTATTTCTTTTTTTATTAATAAGCTTTTAAATATATACCTATTACTGACCATGTTGTTCAGCAGGCCTGCTAAACTACAAAAATGAAATGACTTTTTAAATGATGTATTCTACCAACTAGAAGAACAGAGTATAATGTTTACATTTTGTTTGAAATTACTCCATATATATATGTATGTATGTATATATGAAGACATTAAACAGGAAATCATTTTGTAGAACCTCTGTTTAACTTGTGAGTAAAGCTCTTTTTGTACACTCTTAATAATGCTTTGTTTCAGTCAGAACTTTTTAGAAATATGTTTCTGCTTTTCCTTTGCAGAAAGGAGGTGCCCTGTTCAACACAGCAATGACCAAAGCAACTCCTGCTGTAAGGACAGCATATAAATTTGTAAGTTGTTTTCTTTTGATATTTAAAAATTATACATTTTTCTAGGTGATGAACATATGAATTCAGACTGTTTTCTAATTTTCTTTCAAATAAGCTTATTTTTTAGTTTAGGGTTAATATGGACCCCAAGGGATTAAATTATTAAAATTATATCATTGTATAGAAAGAGTACTTCTTTATATAATCTAAAAAAATTTTTTTACAAAATTTTTGCAAAACAAGTACATGCAGATTGAAATAGCCCACAGTGAAGTGCCATTTTATAAGATTTGATTCTCTCATTCAACAGCATATTTCAGATTCTCATTGTATATTGGAGGCTCAAATAGAAAAAAAATATGGCGAGATCTCTTCCTTCAAGTCAAAGATCCTTGACTCTCTGTAATTAAAATTCTTCAGTGGTTTTCTATGGCTTATAGTAAAATAATAACAACAATAAATACAATAAAAGAAAAATCTCTTTAATCAGGCACCTAAGACCCTTCAAGACCTGTCCCCTCCTGTCCAGTTCCATCCCTCCCCCAGCCCTGAGCTTTCCATATCTCTGAAGATATGGAGCTACTCCTCATTACATGACTTCAAGATGTTCTTTTCTTCCTCTCTATTCTTGCACACACCATTCCTGCTATTTTCAATCTCCATTTCTTGGCCTTTATTAACCTGTAAATACCAGTTCATTCTATAAGACTTAGTTCAGACATTAAACCAAAAAAAACCAAACTGACTGCTGTCAAGTTGGTTGCAACTCATAGCAACCCTATAGGACAGAGTAGAACTGCCGCATAGGGTTTCCAGGCTGTAATCTTTAAGGGAGCAGACTGCCACCTCTTTCTCCCGTGGAGCGGCTAGTAGGTTCACACTGCCGACCTTTTGGTTAGCAGCCGAGCACTTTAACCACTGCACCACCAGGGCTCCGGTTCAGGCATTAGTTCCCTGAAAACGTTTTCCCAGCCCCAGTAGAAAAGAGTTTATATACCACCCTCTGTGTTCCCATAGGGCCTACAGACGTACTTCTGTTTTAGCACTTGCTTTGTCTGTGTACCTGTTTATCTCTAATACTAGACCGGTAGCTTCTTGTGGGAGGAGCTGTACCTTCTATTTTCACACCCAGTCCGTAATAGGTTATTATTTAATAAAGTTTTTTTTTAATTCAATGGATCATATATAGTCTATATTTCTAAAAATATGTAGGACAGTAGTTTTAATTTTGTAAGAATTCATCTTCACATTTCCTCAGTAAATGAGTTGACCCGATTGAATGCATAATAGAATAATATGTTTTTCCTAAGTTTAGAGCTTATGTTTTTTCCTTGACTTACAATTTTGATATATATGTAACCCCCATTTCCGTCTAACAAATCTATTTCAAAGATTCCATTTTATAATAGGGAAGCTAATCTAGAGAGTTAATTTAAAAATACAATACCATTTGAACTATTTGAAGCCTTATCATAAAGCAACATTAAAAGGAGATGATCATTTTGCCTTGGGAACGTCAGCCTCTCCCTCTTGTTTGGGTGTTCCTTGGCTTTGCTCGGAAACCTGTCCGAGTGGATCACTCACTCCCGATAATATCGGGGGGTTGACTTAAGTACAGTTTTTGAAGAGATTTTAATTTTTCACAATGAAATAGCACACAGCTGCTGTGTGAGAAAATCAAACGATTTTTGAGCCTTGTTTCTCGCATTCAATTAAGATTGTAAAAAAAAGGTTTTACAGTCAAGTACCCCTCATTTTTTTTTTTCCTGAAGTTTCACATGAAGTTTTTCTCCAGGCTTAGAGAAGTTACAGTGTATTGTTTTGGCCAAATATGTTTTTTATCCTTAAGTGCACCCATACCTTCCATAAAAGCACAAAGATGAAACAAACATGTTTAAAACCTCACTCGATATTTAAAACTTTTTCTAATTAGTCAAGTAGATTATTTCAGATCCTTTTCTGCAAAGCAGCAGAACGTTTTCAAATTCAGAATTTTTCTCTTCGGAAAACTATTCCTTCAAATAATTTCAGACAAATTAACATCTCCAGGAGATACTTAATCACTCTTATCATCTGTCTTGAAATCATGTCCTACATGAATCAGGAGGTGTGTGGCAGATGTATAAGTCAATTTGTGACCTTGATAAACCAAACAAAACTGAACCCATTGCTGTCAAGCTGATTCCAACTCGTAGCGATGACCCTGTAGGACAGAGTAGTAGAACTGCCCCATAGGGTATCCAAGGAGCGGCTGGTGGATTCGAACCACCAACCTTTTGGTTGGCAGCAGAGCTCTTAACCACTGAGCCACCAGTAACCTTCATAGTTGTACATAAAAGTTATCTTTCCAGGACTGCTCATATTCTGAAATCTGTGCTCTGAAATTCTTCCTTTGACCACAGATTGCTGTGAACAAGATTCCTAATTTCTATTGTATGGGTATAATCAATATTTGCCCTGCTTTTCTATAGTAAATTTGTTAAAAGCGAGAGTACTGTTTTTACCTCTCTTTCATTCATTAAACAAATTACTTGAGTTTCCTATCATGAACTAGGCATTATACTTGGCATTGGGGATAGAGCATTGAGTAAGACAAATATTGTGAGTAAAAGAGATACCATCCTTGCTTTTATGTCTGTATCCGTATCACTTTGCTCTGTGCTTTGAACATATGACAGAAGTACTGGTAAGTATTTGTTGAAGTAAATAATGATGTTGTCCCAAAGTCAAAATGTTTTTCTGTTTACAGGGGCCATAAAGAAAACTAGGATTGACACACATACTTACTTTCTTATAAATCTAAGAATAACAGCAAAGTGAAATACATGTTTGATTTGGCTAAAAGGTCTTCTAAACCAACTTTCTTGTTAGGTCTTTGCATTTTAAATCCTTAGCCAAAGCCATTTTCTTGATGCCTTTCTATAGAGAATATTTGAACATTGGCAAGTTGCAACTTGTTAAGTTTCAACTTGGTAAGTTGAAAAGAATAGAGATAACCAGCACTCCATCTTCCAGGTAGTCTTGAACAGGATGAAGGGGAAGTAGAGGAATATGTATTTAAATGAATCAGTACACAAATTATAGAACCATGGAAGAGACTGACACCAGAGTCAACTGTATACACTAAGGGGCATTTGAAAAGATTAGTGTGAATCAGGAGGGTTTTGAAAGAGTAGAAGATTGTTAGATAAACTGAAATATAGTCCAAGCATGAGCAGAGGTGGGTACAAATTCTAGGAGATAGGAACAGTAACATTTTCTCTTGGTAATTGTTTAGTTTTTGTTTTAATTTTATTGTGTTTTAGGTGAAAGTTTACCACACAAATTAATTTCTCATTCAAAAATTTATGCACAAATTCTTTTGTAACATTGGTTGCAATCACCATAATATGTCAGCACTCTCCCCGCTTCCCTCTACACCCCAGATTCTCCATGTCCATTCGTCCAGGTTTGGTAATTATTTAGTTTTACCTGGTTGAAGTGTAGGGATTAATATAGGACCCATTAAGTATATGCAGTGGCTTTATAAATAAAATAGTGAATATGAAAATGCTTTATTAACTACAAAGAACAATAGAAAGATAATTTAGTGTTATTTGACTTCTTAGATTATCTCTTATACGTGTAATATGTTTTGGTTTTGTCTCATTAACAATAAAAAATAATTGTTTAGTGTAATTTGAGACATTTCTTGAGCAGCTGCTTTATGCCAAATACTATGGTGGGTAGTACATATATTAACTGGAAAGAAATAAGATCCTTCCACTCAAGGAGCTTGGGAAGGAAAGATGTTTATTAACTCTTTCTAGAAGCAGCCTGAGAAAAGACAAGAAAGAAAAGACAAAATGGATGTCAGAAGAGACTCTACAACTTGCTCTTTAACATAGAGGAGCTAAAAAGAATGGAAGAAATGATGAAGTAAAAGAACTGAACAGAAAATTTCAAAGTGCAACTGGAGAAGACAAAGTGTTATAATGAAATGTACAATGACCTGGAGTTAGAAATCCAAAAGGGAAGAATACACTTGGTATTCCTCACCTGAAAGAACTGAAGAAAAATTCAAGCCTTGAGTTGCAATATTGAAGGAATCTATGGGGAAAATATTGAATGACGCAGGAAGCATCAAAAGAAGACGGAAGGAATACACTGAGTCACTGTACCAAAAGGAATTTGTTGATGTTCAGCCATCTCAGGAGCTAGCATCTGATCAAGAACTGATGGTACTGAAGGAAGAAGTCCAAGCTACACTGAAGGCCCTGGCAAAAAACAAGGCTTGAGGAATTGATGGAATACAAATTGAGATGTTTCAGCAAACAGATGCAAGGCTAGAGGTGCTCACTTGTCTATGCCAAGAAATTTGGAAGACAACTACCTGGCCGACAGACTGGAAGAGATCTACATAAGTACCCATTCCAAAGAAAGGTGATCCAACAGAATGTGGAAATTATCGAACAACATCATTAATATCATGTGCAAGTAATATTTTGCTGAAGATAATTCAAAATGGTTGCAGCAGCACATCGATAGAAATTCAAGCAAGATTCAGAAGAGGATGTGGAACGAGGGATATCGTTGCTGATATCAGATGGATCCTGGCTGAAAGATGTTTACCTGTGTTTTATTGACTATGCAAAGACATTCAATTGCATGGATCGTGACAAATTATGGATAGCATTGTGAAGAATGGGATTTCCAGAGCACTTAATTGCACTCATATGGAACCTGTACATAGATCAAGTGGCAGTCATTGGGACAGAACAAGGGACACTGTGGTTTAAAATCAGGAAGGTGTGTGTCACAGTTGTATCCTTTCACCATGCTTATTTAGTCTGTATGCTGAGCAAATTACCTGAGAAGCTGGACTATATGAAGAAGAATGCAGCATCAGGATTGGAGGAAGACTCACGAACAAACTCTGATAAGCAGATGACACACAACCTTGCTTGCTGATAATGAAGGGGACTTGAAGCACTTACTGATGAAGATCAAAGACTACAGCCTTCAGTAAGGATTACATGTCTTAGGCTGGGTTCTCTAGAGAAGCAAAACCAATAAAGCATGTATATATATCTATAGGAAGAGAGAGAGAGGGGGAAAGAGAGAGATATATATCAAGGAAACAGCTCATGTGGTTGTAGAGGCTGGAATGTCCCAAGTCTGTGGATCAGGATGGAGGTTTCTCCTGATTCACATAGCCGCAGGGGCTGGTGAACTCAAGATCAGCAGGCTGGAGAGCAGGGCTTTTGCCCACGGCTGTGAAGATATACAAATCCCAAGATCGACAAGCAAGACTGCAGGGCTTCTCCTGATTTGTATAGCTGCAGGGGCTGGTAAACCCAAGATTAGCAGGTCAGAGAGCAGGACTCTTGCTCACAGGCTGTGAAGATTGACGAATCCCAAGATTGGCAAGTAAGCTGTTAGCTCAAGTCCCAAGAACCGGAGGTCAGACAAACAGGAGGCAGCTGCTGGATCCAGAGAAGGCAAAAGCCAGAACATCCATTTATATTCGGATGCAGGCTACACATCCAAGGAAACTCCCTTTCACCTGATTGGCTACTTATGGCAGATTTCTTCATGGGGATGATCCCATATAAACACTGAGAATCACGGCCCAGCCAAGTTGACACACAGTCTTAACCATCACATTACACCTCAGCATAAAGAAAACAAAAATCCTCACAACTGGACCAGTAAGCAACATCATGATAAATGGAGAAAATATTGAGGTTGTCAAGGATTTCATTTTACTTAGATCCAGTCAACGCCTATGGAAACAGCAGTCAAGAAATCAGATGATGTATTTATTTCATTGGGGAAATCTGCTGCAAAAGACCTCTTTCAAGTGTTGAAAAGTGAAGATGTCACTTTAAGGTCTAAGGTGTGCCTGACCCAAGCCATGGAATTTTCAGTCACCTCAACATATGCCTGTGAAAGCTGGACAATGAAAAAGGAAGACCAAAGATGGATACATTTGAATTATGGTGTTGGCAGAGAATATTGAATATACCATGGACTGCCAGAAGGACGAACAAATCTGTCTTGGAAGAAATACAACCGGAATGCTTCTTAGAAGCAAGGATGTTGAGATTTCGTCTCACATACTTCGGACATGTTAATCAGGAGGAATCAGTCCCTGGTGAAGGACATCATGCTTGGTAAAGTAGAGGGTCAGTGAAAAAGACCCTCAGTGAGATGGATTGACACGGTGGCTGCAACAACAGGCTCAAACATAGCAACAATTGTGAGGATGGTACAGGACCGGGCATTGTTTCTTTCTGTTGTATATGGGGTCACTATGAGTCGGAACCAACTTGACGGTACCTAACAACAACAGATTGAGGCTCATAATAAGACTTAAATTCAGTTGGTGCATTTTAAAAACCTTAGTTCCTCCTTAGTGTCTCCATCTCTTCTGAGATGGGAAGGAGTTTTACTCTGGAATCAAATAGACCTGGGTTTGAATCTTGGGTATACAAACTTAGCCTCTTTGAGTTTCTTTCCTCATTTTTCTTTGTCAAATGGAATAATAATAATACCGACTTTATAAGGTTGTTGTGTTGACTGCATGAGATAATGCATGCTAAGTCCCCAGCACACAGTCACATACTTAGGAAACACAAAATAATGTAAATTCCTTTTCTCGTTTTTACTCTTAGCACTGTGAGTGGGAGTTTCACTGAACAAAGGCAAAGGGTTTTATGAAAGCTCTGCCATCCCCAGTTGTCTGTAGTTAAGTTATACCCCACAGGAATCACGACAGGATCTGAGCGACTCAAATGCTGGAGTCAGATGCCCAGTGAACATTAGGGTAGCCTTTAAATTGTTAAATGACTTTTAATTTTTGCCAGAATAACTAGGTATGATAAACGTTACCATTAGGATGATTTTGCTAACACAGATCTGTCTGCCTGTAAAAGCACTTTGATAAGACTTTGCAAATTTGCCTGAGTTTTTTAAAGTCCAGACTTCATTCTGATAAACTGCTGCTGTGAAGTGCTTTCCATTCTTCTCCCCCAGTTTGTCACAATGTCAAATTAAGACTAAGCTGTGGTAATCTGGTTGACTCCCTTTGTGTTCTTTATAGTTTGGGAGGCAGAATAGGCTAAATGTTACCCTTTGTATGAGGTTAATATACAAATAGAGACTAATTGCATTTTCACCAACTAATTTAGGTATAATAGTAAGTGGTATGCTGTCTCTGAAAATAGATTACAATTGTTCCTTTTCTAAATAATATGAATAGTTATCAATTTTCATTAAATGTGATCTCATATAATTATCCTTTAAATAGTAATAGTACCATGCTGAGCCAGACACTTGTATTATCATTTTCCAGGCAAAAAATCACGCAAAGCAGGGAATAAAGGAAGTGAAGAGTAAGCTAAAACACAAGGTATGTCGTATTCTTCTTTTCATTCTGTCTTAATGCTTGCATTAGTGTGTAGCTTATACTTTACAAATCACATGAGATTTATGTTTTTAATGACTTTTGAAATATGCTTAGCCCTTTGTTCAAGGAAGTATTTTTCATAACAAGCCCTCTGGCAACTATCTGCCATTCTGTATGCATCCACTGAATAATCTCTTTATTGTTTGCATATTTTATCACAGAACTACAGAAATTTTCAAAGACACTTTAACAGGATGTATGTTTTCATAAAGTTGATTGCCTTGATATCACAATTGAAGTTCTTGCTTCAAGCTGAGAATTTTTTAGTGTAGAATTGAGCCAGGAATGCCATTGTTTAGTTTTATAGGATTTTTCCAGTAGTAGTTATTTTAAATTGAAGCATGTTTATAATTTACAAGACTGGACATGAGCATTTGTATTTGAATTTATGAATATTGTATGTATATGAATATTTATGCGTAGGTATATGTATTTGATTTGATTACACACTACATCTCTGCAGATATTATCGTTACGGTTTGAGTTTCTACCTTTAGAGAGAAAAGATGGCCTAATACTTCCAGTGTAATGATCGAAAGCAAATTATTTTCATATAAGTTTTATTCAAATTATTCAAAACAATCAGAACTTATTTTGGAAATTATTAGTTTGTATTATAACAAAATATATTTTCTTCCTAAATAGGGTCTTTAAACTTGTAATTGTTTATTTTATTTGCATCTTTGTCAGGTGCTTTGCATATTAATCAAATAACAGTAGTAATAAAAGAGTATTTTAAAATAATTACTTGTGTATTTCCTCATGTGTAGGAAAACGAGGAAGATTATGGGGCCTGTTCTGGTTCTGTACAATATACTCCAGTTTACATGTTACAGAATGAAAAGGGAGGACACCTAGAAAAGCGTAAGCTTGCCCAGGTAAGATTATCTATCCTTAGTGGCACCACCTTCTAAAATTATATAATTCTCTCTCATATAGGTCACTGTGAGTTGTAATCAACTCGATGGCACAACAACACGGAATTCTTCAGGGACAATTTTGGACCCATTAGTTTTTAGCTTATGATAAAAAAGCCTGTACTTTTAGTCAAGGGTGGGAGTAGATGGCATGCGGGCAGACTGTAAGGGGCTCAGGAATAAGATGCTGCAGATTTCAGTCTCTACAGATTCATTAAGGCGTACCTTCATGAACATTAAGGCTTACCGTTCAGTAAGGGAGAGAGACCATTAAATGCATGATTGCTGTGGAGTATGAATGAGCATAGTGATGAACAGAACATCCCAGATTTCCTTCACTACAAAAATAAAATGAAATTTATACATGGGAATTTGACCATTAAAATAAGCTATGAAAATTAATTAGAGTAGGAAGTAATATGTGTCTGTTTTTCTAAGGTTAGATATTTGCTACAAACATTTAAAGTTTCTGCTTATCTAAAAATATTGTCCTGAAGTGGGAAAATGATCAGAATCATAGCTAGATGTGTCTCTGATTTTGCATCATAGGTGTGTTTCTAAAAGTTTTAACTAAACAAAATTTGTATAAACCAAATCAGGTTTTAAGTGGCCTTAGAAAACTACCTTTTAAAAAGAATTCTGGAGTAGATTATAGGTACAAAATTACAAAACTGGGAGAGGCCATAGCATTTTATTTAGTACAGTTGCCAAAATTTACAGATGAGGATGTTGATAACCAGAATGGTCCCAGCACTTGTCCTTAAGTCTGGTAGCTGGGGAGTGGCAGAGGGGGCTGAGAACCCACCTCTAATGCTCCTTTAGCTTTCCTGGATACCCCGGCACTGCAGGAATAAGATGGCCATAAAGAAAAAGTACTTCCCCATGTCTTTAAAAATGAGAAGAAATACAGTAAGGCTGTACTAAATCCCTACCTAAAACTAAAACAAAAAATCTCTGCCCTCATGGAAATATTTTTGTCATACATTAAGTGTCTTCTCAGGCATCCATCTTATAATGCTGATATTTTCGTATGTTAGAACTGCTTAGTAATCACTGGATTGGCAGTGAATGCTCACTGTATGACCTAAAAAAGCCCCTCAGTAAAATAATTATTCTGGGAATGTAGAAACCTTTTTTGGCCACTACCCTTAACTAGAAAACATTTATTGACTTATAACTTAATGGATTTGCTACTGATTTCTCTAGTTTTTATCCTATCACAGTGTGTGTAATTGCTTGTCTATCTGTTCTCAAGTGTTAGCATCTTAAACAGTTTTGTCTAATGTGTTCTGCCTTAATATTGGAACATTTTGGTTATGCTTAGCATGATGAATAGATTTTTATGTGAAAAAAAGTGACCTTTGTTATCCGTATGATTCTGTAAGATAAAAATACTTAAATTGGAAAACACCTTTCCAAAATGTCATTTTTAAGTTAAAAATATTATCTGCTCCTCATACTTAAATTTCTAAGTCTTCCTTTCATTTAACCTAATGTAACATTTTTATGATAATTTAGTTCTACAATATTATTACTGATTGATTGTTTTCTGTTAATTCTTAGAGATGCAAGTTCCGAGAGAGAAAAATGTGTTAGGTTACAGAACACCCTATAAGACAATAGGTTGTGTCTGTTATATACTTATACTGAATCCTCAGGGCTATCATTTATTGTAATATCATTAATTCAGTTACATTCATTAATTAGCATTTTATGGTTTTGAGATGGACATAAAAATGTTGACATTAATAAGAATTAAGAGAAGTAGGGCTTATTCTATTAGGTACTCTACTTTTCTTATTTGTTTATAGGAATTTGTTAAACCAATATATTTAATATTATTAAGCAGAAACTGATAGTATCTTCATAATAATTTTTACTTTAAGTGATAAATATCTGTCAGCTATATATACCCGATATATATGTTTCTTGTCATACATGTACCTCATTGTATAAACAGATGTATGTATCTGTGTGTGCATGCATTTTAACAGCTAAATTTTTTAAGCATTCCTATTTCTAATCACTTATGACCTAATAATATTTATTTTAATTTAATGTTTTGCTTGTAATTTTTCTGTAGTTGAAGTTTGGTCGTTTAGTTTTAGAGTCACGTGTACACTTATCAAAGAGCTAGACTTCTGATTTTGCAATTTCTTCCTTGCTGCTTTCCACCCATATTTTTCCCCCAGGATACCAGAATCCATGTTTTCTTGTAATATTAATTTTGTTTCTTTGAGCTGATAGTTACAGTGCTCTGAAATGATGGCCAGTTTGTGACTGGCAGCTCATTTGTAAGTCCCTAGGTGGTACAAATGGTTAACGTGTTCGCCTACTAACCAAGAGGGTGGAGGTTCAAGTCTACCCAGAAGCACCATGGAAGAAAGGCCTGGAAATTTACTTCCAAGAAATCAGCCATTGAAAATCTTACGGAGCACAGTTCTACTTTAACACACATGGGGCCACCATGAGTCAGAATCGACCTGACAGCAACTGGTACTGATTAGCTTATTTATAAAAGCATAGCATGGTGCCTTCAAATTAAAATTATCATGCAATTCCTGATTTGAATTATTTTTTTAATTCCTTAGTGTTAGCAAACATACAAATGAAGTTAAACAAAATGGAGGCATTTATTATAAGGATATAGGAGCTTCTTTGGACATCCAAGCAGAAGAATGTACTTAGACCTCTGGTAGGACTGGAACTAGAAAATGGAAGAATCAGTCAGAGAAGGAAATGAGACACCTGCCTGTCTCTCTGCCTGTCTCTCTTTCTCTCAACGACACCTGGCCTGTTAGTCTCTCTGTGTCTCTGCATATTGTGCATTCTGTACACTGGCTGTCTCTTCTCCACTGTGTCTCTGACACAGAGCTTGCAGGCTTTCTGTTCAAGCAGCCACAAAAAATGGACTACAATTCCTGAATCCAAAATCCAGAGGGGAGAAGGAGAAGAAAAATAAATAGTATGTAAGTGTAACTACAAGAGAACTGGGAGAGGCAGAATTGACCACAGTTAGTCAAGCTGAAAATTGAACCTGGCATTGCAAAATTTGCCCTTATGCCAAAGGATTTCCACCATCAGAAATAACCGTTCTTCTCCAGCTTAGGAGAAAGAGAACATCTCATTCAACATTAAATCTTTGTTGAAGACACTTGTTGAAAAGACTCACAACCAGTTAATGGAAGACTGCCACCTATTGGACCACCAATACCTGATTGTGGGAAATAATCAACATTTATTTCAGTATTCCTGTGTTCCTGAGTTCCTTGGTCCTTTGCCCCGCTTACCCAGCTATTTCTAAAAGTAGTTTCTACTCCACAAGCCATGTGATAGTGGATTATTTACTTTTTAGTATCTGAATGTCAATGAAAGATGTTGGTTTCCACCTGGCCTGTTCTTCTCTCTGCATACCTGTTCATTGTGCATTCTGTACGCTGGCGTTTTCTGCCTCCCTTGCCCCTGACCCAGAGCTTGCTGCTCTTCAAGTAACCCCTAGAAATGGAGTATAATTCCTGAATCATAAATCCATATTTATTTTGGAAGAATATAGTCAGCACACTTGTATCAGGCATTAATCTTGGTTCCATCAATGCAAGCCAAAGCAGAAGGCAGAGTACCATCTTACTAAGGACACCAGGGGTGGTAGGAGCAAGCAGGGAAAGCAGTTCACAGAGAAAGGGTTTTATGGGCTGTGGCAATCTCTTAAACGATGTCTACTAATTCTAATTGCCTTATAATCATATTTGGCAAAAAATCTATATTTTTAAATACTTGGAGGCTGGATCTTTGTATCACAAATCTGAAGCTTCATAAGTTTAACATCAGCCTATCCACATGGGTTGCTGGATAGTTTACCTTTGTATTTTGGTAAGGAAATCAAGAGGGGGCAGCCTTTTCTTTGTGGCCTGATATCTCAGAAACTTGCTTGCTTCACATTTTGGAAATAATCTCATTGATTTTAATCAAAATATGATCCCCGTGTGTTATGGAAGATACAGAAAGCTGATGGTAGAACCATGAGCATATTGATTTATGCTAATTACCAGATCAATGAGTACTCTTACCCCCAACTCTCCAAGTGTGATAAGAATAAGATCTGGCCATATTATGACTTTCAGTTAAATACATAAGTATTTCAAGAAATAGTTATGTGTAGTTAAAGGCAAGATCTAGATATCAATAAATATGTCAGAGACCCTAGTATTTGTTTACTTATATTCCACCTATTTCCAAAAATAATTTGACAACTTTAAAAAAGTAATAGAATAAAGAATAAAATTTGTTTAGATTATATAAGAGTTAAGACAGAGAGAAAATAAGTGTAATAGGTAGCTGTTAAGGTGCATTCCCTTGCTGAGCAAGCTGTATGAAGAGAGGAACACAGCTGCATGATTCATGATGCCAAAGGTTACCAAAAACAGTCGCTCAGGAGACGCACAAACACTGAGAAACAGGAACGGGGCTAGATAATTGCAGATCCACAGATGAAGTCAGTGTCGCAAGAGCTCCTAGTTTATTGGAAGGACCTAATAGAGGCAGAGATCTGTTTCATGAGACGGAAGTTTGATTTTCTTTATTTGGTCTCTTCTGTGCATTTTCTACTTTTGAGATGTTCAGGTTCATTAATACCTCTCTCAAAGACAGCTTAGGGTCCTAGCCATTGCCTTAGCATTCACAGGAGAGTTGTGCCACTTTAACAAAAACAAACAAGCAAAAAACAGGCTACAGATGAACATAAACTTAGAATATACTCTTTTCTTCCCTGTGTAAAGCTCACTGAGCCAGTGGAGTAACATCTCTTTCTAATGTTAAAACCAAAACCAAACCAAACCAGTTGCCGTCCAGTCAGTTCCGACTCATAGTGACTCTACCAGCCTCTCAGTAATGCCTCAAAAGGGCTCCATCTTATATTAAAATAACTAAACTCTTTTAAAGATTTGCCATATGGTGAATTTATTACCTAGAGCAATATTCGGTGGGGACCTATAGGATTTGGTGATCCAGATAATTTTGATGTTCTTACTATTATTTCCCAAACCTCAATTTTGATAAAGTTGAAATCATTTAAAAGTACAACAGAGCAGCCTTGGAAAACATGGGGAAGAAGGGAGACGTAGTTCCTTGATAACAGTGAGGCTGTCTGGTTATATTTGTATATATTACATTACTCATTGAAAACTCCCAACAGTCCATTTAGAGTAGGAACTATTATCCCTATTTTACAGATTTAGAAGTAGAGGGACAAACAGATTAAAAAATGTGCCCAAAGTTTTATAGGTAATCAATAGCAGAATAGGGATTCAAAATCAGACAAATTGATTCTAGATCTTTAAATACTTGACCACTGTATTAGGGTACCTTTCTAGGGCTTGGAGTGCTTATAGAAGAGGGCAGTTAAAGACAAGGGCATGGAATTTAGAGCCAGACAGACCTTGATTTTGAAAAAGGTACTAGTATTTAGCACTGGGCAAAACATAACGTCCCCAAACCTTGCTTTCTACATTTGCAAAATGATAATAACAACATGTGTCGTTTTCCTGGGCTGCTGTAGGCATTATAGGTAATGCATATATGATATCTGGCATATAATAGACACTCAGTTATTGGCAGATATTCATATATACATATACACATCTATTAACCTTCAGATCTTTTATAGCAATGACACCATCTGATATTCTTTCTTGGTAGCTACTGCCTGGAGTCACTAACGAACCTCTAGTCACTAAAGTCGTGGGGGCCCTAAAAATATCCATCTTCATTCTAAGTAGGTATGGCTTTAGATTCCAGTATGTGGCTTGGAAAAAAATATACAGCTTGTTGTACTGAAAAATCCCTTGGCTTATCAGACCTCAGCTATGCCATTTTATTGTCAATAAAATTATCTAAGTAAAGAATGTGGACTTCACTTACGCCAGCTGTGTAGATTATCCATTTGAGAAGTCTGATCTCAGCTGTATAAAGAACTTCCCTTTGCATTGCTAGGCTTATCAATGAAAGACTTTATGTCTCTCAAAAGATGAAAATGAGATTATGATAATTTGAATTTTAAGAGTATATTTTAAAGTTAAAAAAATAAAGTTTTGTAATCTAGGAACTGTAGAATAGAACAAAGATCTAAATGTATCTTGTTTAACCTGTGTTCCATAACTTATTTTTGGAATAGATTGTGAATCTGCAGTCCACCTCAACAAATAGTCATTTGTGTGCTGGTGTGTTAATTAGTATGGTTATTTCCCGTTTTGTTGATGAGGCTTAAATAAATGTCAAGGGTACAGCCACGGAGATCTCCCAATTAGGCTTCACATTTGTAAAGACCAACCCTGTTCGCTTTTGTGTGAAGATGACAGTTCCAACAGCAGCCCCAGCCTAACAGGACTCCAGGGAAAGGATCTTCGTCTGGTTTTATTGAAAACAAGGCCAGTAAGTCCAGTGAGAATACCGCCACTGGTCATGGTGCAGAACAGTTTTAATCCTGACTACATACGTACTTCTTCCATCAATTTTATTTTTGAACAGAATACTGAAGACTTAATGATTACTGTTTAGATCATTAAGTCTGTCATTGAAATTATGTTTTAAAATATTTTACCTTTGAAAATTTGTATTGGAATTCTCTTTTCCAAGAATAAGAAATTCCTTTAAATGTAAAATTTATCTAGATCTAAGACACGGTTCCATCTTTAATAATGTTAGCCATTCTTGGCTTAGTCTAAGCAATTAGAACGTGTATGTCTGTATCTGTGCGTCTGCATGACATGCACTCACACACGCATCAACTAGACTAGTGAACCAGCAGGGAGCTTGGTTGTACTGCAAGTCGACATTAACAGATGGATGGCCCTAAGCAAGGCAAAACCACCACAGCAACATCTAGTGGAAGTGGAGGATTGAAGCTTTTTATTGTTAAGCCTTATTAAAACCCTGGCACACATATCACTTTAACTATTTCATGTCTGGGACAAATAGCAACCCACTCAGATTTTCAACCTGTCCAATTAATTATGCCAAAGCAGCATCAGAAGATATGAATGGAAGGTTATTTTTCCATTTATGATATGGTATAAAGCAGTGTGCCTGTTCATAAATACCCCTACTTAGAATGTAGTCGAGACTTTAACCCAAATACACTGTTTGCAAATAGAAAGATGTTTAATAGCCCTAATTGCTGTTAAGAAGACCAAGTGCTATTAAACTGTGGTCATTTATTCTATTTCTTCAAATATATTCCCATGCAGATTAGTAGTTTGAGAATAAATAGTTATCTTTTGAATGCTATGAAGAGTGAACAGTAAAGATGTTCTCACCATAAAATATAATTGATCTATGTGATTTTCTTTTTTACCCATTATACAAGGTGGTATGCACACTTAAAACTTTGCTATCAATTTCAATTCTTATATATCTAATGGCTTATAAGTCATTCTAATGAATTTATGGACTATAGTACAACACCTGTCAGCTCATTTTATAATTGATAAGTAATGTACTTTCATCTTTAAAGTATATACTCAGAAGTTACAGTACCTTTTGGCACACAGAGACTTGCAAGTCAGGTATTTCAAAGCTGGGTTTTAGGTGAATGGAGATTTAAGAGAAATCCCCATCTGTTAGTGTCTTTAAGAAAAATATGAGCAATCAGATGGTATATATCTTGTAGATAATAAATCTCATATTTTAAAATATTTGCAAATGAAATTAAGTTTTTGTGAAATTTACAAGAAAAGATAAAAACTTAAAGATTGTCTAAATTGCATTCTTTCCCAGCATAATAAATGATTGTATACTCAAAATGTTCTGGTAGGGTGTGGTTCATAGTATTATGTTTGTGACACACTTTTCTTTGTAGGAATTCAGTGGACTTTGGGAATAAAATCAATTTGATTAAAGGTAGTGATTCTTGCTCAGGTGATACAATAGATTTCAAAAAATGGCACACTTGTTAGAATCTTTGGAAGAATACAGTCCATTGAATAGCTTTGTTCTATTGGTCAGGAAAGAAATGTCGTAGGCGTCATTTTTGGTGGGCATAGCCACTTGCTTTTCCTGACCAAGAAAAAGTGATTGTAAATTACAAGGTGAGAAAGAGAATCATGGCCTGAGGGGGGGAAATGTGTGTAGGGGGAGGAGACCCAGGTAATTGGAAATAAAGCTGAATGTAGATTTTATGAAATAATAAAAAGTTTAACTAAATCATGATTTTAAAAAACCCTTAATTTTTGTATTTTGTGCACTTTGTTTAATTTGGCTCTATATTGAGAACACTATTACTATGATCAAGCTAAAATCTCAGATTAAAGGGATAAGGAAATCTGTTGGAAAGCTTCAAATGGTAAAATGTTTCTGAAATAAATTAATGTGTTCCTATTAACAGGTGCCTATGTAAAAATACTGCCTAAATGAAAACATATTTTAGAAGTGTTCATCCCAGAGTCACTGTTTCACATAGGATCTTTCTAATCGAATTTAAACTAATGTCCGTAATTATAAAATTGGTACTTTTAGTCCACTTTGAAAAATATGGATACTATGTTGTAAATCTGAAAACAAGCCCTTATTTTCTCTGCTGTGTCTCTGTTGAAATAATATTAATTTCCAACATGTCGAATTTCATTATAGTTAAATCGGGGGGGGGGGGGGGGTGGAGGGAATCACAATGTGGATTACAAGAGTGCCCTCTAGTGGAAATTATATAATATTTCTTTCCATGAAAGAAGACAGTTACACAAAACAAAATTTATAGCACCTTTCTAAGTAACCTTTTTTAGAAACACAGTGGAATACACATTGAGGCATTTAAATTATCATAAAATTGTTCTAGAACATTATTCTATCAAATAAATGATTCAAAACCAACTCCTTTCAGTAACGGTAGCTGGGACTTTATTTTTAAAATGTTTAGCTCTACTGAACAATACCTCCCCTAAACAAAACAAACCAAAAAACAAAAACCATTGCCATCAAGTCAATTCCAACCTATAGTGACCCTATACCTAGTGTATTAAAAAGACATAATGGGAGATAACCTTACTTAGGCTAACATTTTTAGTATATAGTTTGAGATATTTTTAGTTGACATGTACCTATTTAATGTTAGAAATTTTACTTTTCAGATTTATTGCCACAAATGGCTATGCCATTTATTACAAAGTCTTGAAACAAAAACAAAGCTACTCATTTTTTCCATTTTGTAAATTTAATGAATATTACCATTCTAGACTTTACATCAGTAATCGCGTCACTAATATTTTTCCTCACTGTTTTCTGTCCTGTTTAACTTTGTGAGGGTTTTTTCCTGTTACTTCTTTAATTATTGTAAATGCTTTTGATGAAATTAACAGTAGCTCTATATTCCAAAAGTACTCAGTTTTTATAGACAAATTCTTATTTTCTCCCAGGCACCATAGGAAAAAAAATGACTATTTTCTTCCTATTTTGTATATGGAACTCCTTCTAAAGTTGGTCAGAGATCAACGCTAGTGTTGAAAGGAAGAACCAGCCTTTTCTTTGTAGGGGTTACTACCACCGCCTGTTAGTGTCCTGAAGAGACAAATTGCCAGAAAGTTCAACAGATATATAACTATCGGAGCGTAATAGAATCTTATTATAATTTAAACTAGATTTACATATCCTACATATTGTTATTTTCCTGATATAAATACTTCAACAATATATAAATGTCTTAATAAGTTAGCCTGTGTCCCCATACCAATTAGAAAATTGGATTGCTGTACTTGCAGCCTTCTCAAAAAGTTTTTTTATGACTTTTCTAACATTTGAGTGTAATACTGGTCATTTCACAGAAGTTCATTCCCCCTTTGCCTTTATCAATATCTTTTACGTTTATAAGACACTTTTGAAAATTATTATCATTTATTTTGAAACTAAAATATAATTACTATTTGTATTAAGGGTCTTGGCTACATCCAATACAGAAACCATTTTAAGACTCTCTACTTATGTGTGTGCTTACGCACACACATATACGCACATTTACACACGTTTATGCTCATCATATATTGATATGGTAAATCTGAGAAATAAAGTCTAGCTATATTTATTTTGCAAATCAGATATTTATGTACTTTAGTTGTGTACTTTGTGCCAGCATAATTTATTAAGATGATTGGAAATTATATGGTTCTGCTTATTGATGCTGACTTTTTAATTGTTTATCCCAGCTGGAAAAGTCATCTTCACATCAGTTACTAAAGGAAACCAAATTCTGTGTTTTATTGAAAATATAATGGATTCATTTTGTATTAAGAAACCTTTTTAAATGTTGAAATATTGAAACCCTGTCAACAAAAGTGAAATTGTAGATAGCTTGCCATTTATCAAAGGGTTGTTTATTTATTTATTTAGCTTTGAGAACACTATTTCATAGCCTTATTCAACTTCTTGTATTTACACTGATCAGTATGCTCTTGGCATAGAAAAGTTACTGCAAAGCTTTGGTAAAATTTGCATTTTCAAATATTAAAGACCAGAAAAAATAATGAAACAATTTATTTTAAATATTTATAATTAATATAATTACTTAGCACATGAGCAGGCCTTAAAAACTGGCTTCAAAATATTAACCAGTTCACAACCATAATGCATATAAACACAGGTGAATAATGAGACCTTCTGGAATACATGGCCTTCTTTCCACCTATTAACAGGTTTCGGTAAGAGACAGTCTTTTAGAATGCCTGGTAGAGTTGTCACCATTGGATAGGTTTTTATATAGTCTGTGATCATCAGTGGAGAAAGGAGTTTAAAGTGCTATGTTTCTGGGAGAAATCTGATACAATAGTTTACCAAAATCAGCTTTATAATCTGTGTTCAGTAAAATGGCTCTGTAAGGGATCGGTTCTGAGGTTCCTTTCCCTTGATTTGCACTACTTAGAGGTGAACCTGGTTTTCCTCATTTGAAATACCTTTGCGTCCAGTGGAAGTTCAGAAGGAGTCAGAGACTTCAGATTGAACGTACGTTTCCCAGGGTTTGTCAGGAAATGTGATCTTCTGGGGCTAGTGTAAATACCTACTGGGAAATCCATTGTGGGAATGTGGGGTACCAGACATCATCCTTTCATTTGGGCATTTAAATAGCTTTTATGTATCTAATGACTGTCATGATTGGTTAAGCTGATACTTGGATTAGTAACCTCGTGTCAGAATCAACTCGACCGCACACAGCAACAGACAGCTACTTTTCAGTGGCCTCATAAAGTTTCTTCAACATTTCTAGTATTTTCTCTCCAGCATTTAATATGGGAATTTCTTTAGTCAAATTGCAGAATGGACCCCAACTTAATATTAATCAAAATAAGCTTCCATTAATGCATCTAGTGGTATACTGTGGACCTAATGGACAACCCCGTAATGGAGACTCTAAATCAGTTCAGCAAAAATGACCTGAATAGCTACTGTGTGCTCAGTCATGTAACTCCTCTGAACACCTGCTATGAGTTAGACCTGCTGGCCAGTAGCTTTCAAGATCACTTATCTCCTCTTAACCTACTAGAGCCCATCAGTTATAAATTCAGAAAGACTTTCTTTCATTGACCTTTATATTCATTCCTTCTTTTCACTTCTTAACCATCACCCTCATCACTTAATAGAAAGACCTCATGTAGGAGTGTTAAGATCTTAGGCTTTGGAATATAACGAACCTGGACTAGAACACCAGCTCTGCCACTTGCGTGATATGTGAGCTTGAGCAACTTTTTTAACCTCTCTAAACCTCTTAGCCGTCATATCTATAAAATGATGATAATAATGTCCAGCCCCGTAGCATTATTGTGAAGATTAGAGTTAGTGTAGTGATGGGATTAGTTCTTCCAACACTGACTGAAGTTTAATAAGTATTAGGTAATATTGTTTTTATACTGTCAACTACAACAACAACCACCACAAAAATTTGTCAAATGCCTGCTGTGTGTAAGGAGCAGAATGAATTAGACTGGTTGATAGTATCCTACAGCTCTTGGATGCTGTGTTCCATTTTGTTGTTATTTTCCACTCTCTTTTTGTGGATGTGTTTCAGCTTGGATAATTTTTATTGGCCTGTCTTGAACTTCATTGATTCTTTCCTCAGTCTGCTGATAAACCCATCAAAAAAAATCATTCATCTCTTTGATCATATTTTTTTTATTTCTAACATTTCCATTTGACTCTTTTTTAAATAGATTCCACGTCTGTGTTGAAAATCCCCATTTATTCATGCATGTTGTTCATCTTTTTCTTTTTTTTAAATTTTGTCTGTCTTGTAATTCTTTTTTTATTTTTTATAGATTTTTAATTTTTATTGTTGTTGAGAATATGTACTGCAGGACATACACCAGTTCAACAATTTCTACATGTATAACCTGTGCTACAACATGGATGTCTTGTAGTTCTTAACTGAATGTTGGACACCATGTGTAGAAGAGCAGTACAGAGTGAGGTAAATAACATTTATATGCAGAAAAGGGCAAGACTCTTCTTCTGTAATGCTGTTAGTATAAGGGATTGAGTTAATCTATTCAGGAGTAGAACTGGGTTTGGATTTTGTTATTGTTATTATTACCTTCAGTGTGCCACAGGATTCAAACTCGTCCTGCAGTGGGCTACTGTTAACCTTGTACTTCAGGTGGAACCAGGAGTACTGGAAGGTTTTTCTCGGTGTTCTTGCTTCACCCTCAATTCTCAGCAGTCCCTGTATGCCTGAGCCAAGTGCAAGGTCTCTCTCAAGGTTTTTGCCCCTCCCCCTAGCCCCATGGGTTTTCTGTTCTGATTCAGCTTTGATCTTAAGCAGACCCTGCACCACTGGGCCTCAGCTGTGGGGCTCTCAGTATCCCTCTCCTTCCTCCCCATGGCAGCCAAGCTTCCTTCTGTCTGTCGGTCTTGGGCAGACAAGCATCTCTTGCCTCTCCACCAGCAGTAGTAGACCTAGGCTTGGCAGCAGGTAAGCGCCTGTGCCCAGAGGGTTTCCTGCCCCCCACCTTGGGCAGAGAGTTTTTGTTTCCACTTCTCTCCCAGTAGCAGTGGACCTTTGCCTGTTTTTTAGGGGACAGGAAAGTTTCCTACTAGCTCAGAAGCAGATGAATTTTGCTTCTACCTCTCCTCCAGTAGTCTCGGAAGTGAGAAAGTTTGCTGACCCTTTGCCAACTTTTGTTTCCTATGAATGAATGTTCTTAAAAGTGAGTGGGCTTTGCATTTGCCCCCTGCAGTAGCCTGTCACCTCATGCAGGCCTCACCTCCGAGGGGAGCTCTTTTCAGTCTCACGTCCTGCCCCTAATCTTTCTCATGAGCAACAGGTGGTAGGGTCACCTGATATAGTAAATGAAAATACTGTTTCCAAGGCCCACTCTTCAGACAGGGATTGGACTGGACTGTGGGACATAAAGTGATACTCGTGAAGAATGTACCTCTTAGTCAAGTAGATTCAAGAGACCAAAGGGGCAGCTTCTGTCCAGAGGTTTCTTGTTGCCTTAGTGAACTGAATCCTCAACATACAGATGAGCAGCTGCGGTCATTGCTTACAGATTTCACTAATGTGGTGGTGAAGTGCTGCAAAGCAGAAGGGCCTGAAGCCTGCTTCAATGAAGAGTCTAGGAGGCTAGAAGTCTGAATTCAGGGTGCCAGCTCCCGGGGA